CTCACTATTTAGCCTTATATAATTTTGTATAGCAATTTTCTTTTGATGCACAGTAGCCGGCTGGTAGCTTACCGGAACGATGCCCATCCGTTACCGGTAACTCAGCTGGCTTGCTCTGTTGCATTTCCCCTTTTTTCTTTTATGTATTGCGTCACAGTAGCTGAGGTTTTTCTCACCTCTAGCTAACGTGTATCTTGATGATTATACCGGAAGATATCTTTGCAAAATTGAGTGGTGTTAAGCACCTTGCCTAGCTTGATCTGTCCGACGCCTACCTCTAGGTGGATGTTGCCGAAGACTCGAGGGAACTGCTGATTATCAACACACATCGTGGGCTGTTCCAATGCATCCGCTTGCCTTTTGGTCTGAAAACAGCACCAGCCATTTCCCAACACTTAATGGGATACCATGTTTGCGGGATTCGCCGCATATCTAGACATCATCATAATGGATCGGACTGCAGAAGAGCTATTTAACCGAGTGGACAAAGTGCTTGGCCGCATCCAGTCGTATTGATTCCGGATCCGGGAAGATAAATGTACGTTTTTCACACCGACCATCAAATACCTTTGTTTTATTATCGAAAAGGATGGCCGTCGGCCAAATCCAGCGAACATAGAAGCCATAACGAAAATGCCAACAGGCCCACAATTCTTGCGTTCATTTTGTGGTCTCATTAGTCATTACAGCGCATTTTTGCTTGTGACGCTTCGCCTGCGTGCCCCGTTGAACAAGCTGCTGACCAAAGACCACGCTTGGAACTGGACTCAAGAATGTCCGAGTGTCTTCGAACGAGTCAATTCGTTATTGGCGTCAGACCTGTTGCTGAGTCATTGCGACCCAACTCAAGAAATCGTTCTCGCAACAGACGCATCAAACAATGAGACCGGTGCGGTAGTATCACATATGTATCCAGATGACTCTCCGAAAACGATCACACATGTGGCAATAACATTGACTAAATCCGAGAGGAACTTTAGCCAAATCGAGAACGAGGCATTGCCTATAATCTTCACAGTGAAGAAATCCAACAAGATGCTATATGGCCGCCGCTTCAAACTTTTGACGGATCACAAATCGTTGCTGGCTATTTTTGGCTCTAAGAAAGGCATTCCTGCCTATACAGCAAATCGTCTCCAACGCTGGGCACTCACTCTGCTGAGCTATGATTTTGAGATCCGCTACCAAACCACGGTTTCCATAGGCCAAGCGGACGCGCCGTCACGCCTCATTGACTCTCATCAGCAAGATGAAAAAGGCACGATCATAGCCTCAGTCGAGCTCGAGCCTGATGTCAAATTTCTCATGAGTGACGCTCTACTTGACCTACCACTTACTGCAGTAGCTGTAGGAACGGAAACGCTTCGGGTCTCAATACTCAAGAAGGTGACTCGGTTTCACAGAACCAGTTGGCCACGTTCATCTGCAACAGCCGAATTGCAACAGTACTATTAGAGCAGGCATTCACTCTCCATTGTGGACGACTGCATACTATTTTCGGAGAGTTGTCATCCCAAAGGCCCTACAAGAGTGCTTGCTTCGGTAGTTCCACGCCGGGCAATCTGGGACCAACCGGATGAAGATGCTTGTCCGTAGCTATGTGTACTGGCGTTGCATGGACAAACAGTTGGAAGAGTTGGCCAAACGCTGCCAAAGGTGTGCCAACATCCAAAGCACCACATAAGCAGAGCTGCATTCATGGCCAAAACCCACGAAACCATGGTGCCATATCCAGGTTGACTTTACAGGACCGACCAACGGCCAGTTTTCTCATCGTAGTCGATTCTTACAGCAAATGGCCCTGAGTGTTTCTCATGGATAGCAGTACAACAATGCTACACTATCAAGACTGCACCAAATCTTCGGCAGGTTCGGCTGTCCAAATGCACTTGTAACTGACAACGGCCCACAATTCAATTCGTCAACTTTCACGGAGTTCTGCAAGCAACGCGCCATCCAGCAAATTCGCTCGCCGCCGTTTCACCTACAATCGAATGGCCAGACAGAGGTTCTTTTGTACGTCGTCAAATCAAAAGGGAAGGGATGCAATAAGGAAGTGATCGACAGATTCCTTTTCTTGTATCAGCCCACACCAAACCAAAATCACCAAACGGTGTGTCCCCTGCAGAAGAAGCACTGATGAACAGGAGGCTCCGCATGCCGTTCGATGCTTTTCGACCCACTATTGAGTCCTCATACGGAGAAAGGAACCGGAAAATGGAATAAGAATTCAATCGACGACATTTAGCAAAGCAACGTTCATCCAAGCCCGGAGGTTTACTGCTCGTACGCGACTACCGGAAATGTCATGCAGCATGGACTCCAGATGAGATCAAATGGATTTTCGCATATAACAAGCCACAGTTATCTGCCTCTCAACACTGCGACGTGGCGCATGTGACTCGCCACAAACTAAACTCACTGCCTCGTGGATATCCGGAATATGCTATCCCACCCACGGATATAAATCGCTTATTTTCACATTCCTGATGATTACAAACAGTCAAAAATGATGCGTCACATTCACAAACACAAGCTACACAACTACATTCATGCACATCCATACACACATTCGCTGTCAAGCCAAACATGTATTTTCGTACATTTTTGATCACATTATGTTAGCTTAGCGTGATCATACCTGTAAAGATGTGCTTCGCATTGTCGAGAATAAAAGTTTATTTATTTATTTCTTTATTTATGTAAACGTGGAGATGCAATTTACGATGTGCTTATTGCATTGCAAACATGGGTCCGCCGTGCAAATCAGTTACGCCCAACGCTGTGCCGCTCAGAGACGAGAAGCTCAACCGAACTGCCTTTCGACCACCTTGTGCATCGTTTCAGCTTACCGAAACCAGACAGATTGGGCCACAGTCAATCGAACGGTGCAACAAATAATCAACAGCCCACTCAAAAAAACACTTCAACCCAGGAGATAGACGGGCAGACGGAGCACGCCGTCTTCAAGACTGCAAGTGAACCCGAGGCTATCATCCTACACCGCAGCCGCGATCTCAAGAAGGAAGATGTCAGGGAGAGGGAACTCTCCGTGGAAAACTTATTAATTCTGGGGAAACGATTCTAACCAATAGTGTACAAAGGAAACATCAAAACCTTTCAGGAATGTTCGCGTCAGGATCATTCAGGTTTACTCGACGCACGGATAGCGGAACTGAACTACCAATCAGGTCAGCTGACCTAGCTGTTCTGAGACGCGAACGTTCCTTGGTAGGCCAATAAATATTCACTGGTTTTCACACTACTTGTACCCGTTTCTGTAGCTGGTTCCGCAACACGCTTTTGCCTCCAAGCTTTGCCTTCTGATTCTCGGCCGGGGTTCGGAGCTGGCGGGGAATGAATTCAGTACAACCGGAATCGCCAGACATGGGTAGATCAAAGCAGTTGGAGCACCGCCATGTTTTTGGTGACCCAAGGTAGTCGTGTTCCTAGACATCATTGGGACCCTCGCGGTTCAAGGCGTTGGGCTGACCTACGCAAAATGTGTCCGAGCTAACGTATGCGATGTCGGAAAATAACGTTCTGAAGGCTGGCACTGCTCCTACAAGCACTCGGTCTCGGACCTCTGCGTTGCTTACGTGGTGTTGCCACCACACCCGAGCAATCCTTCGTAGACAGCGGTTGTCGAAGACTGACAGCCACTTCATGTCTTCCGAGTGAATAGACCGGCTCACATCCGTACAAGAGTACTTCACGGACGGAAGCATTGTAAACCTTGCCCTTGAGCTTGAGACTGACATCACGACGATGCCATAGGTGTCTCAGTTTAAAGAATACAAGACGGGCCTTTGCAATCCGTTGTGAGACTTCATCTGCAACCGCCACCAGCCGTGATTCAACTCTCTAGATAAGTAAAACGAGGGACTTGCTCCAGAACATGTCCAGCAATGGTGAGCGCGGATTCAGGCACCTGCCAGTCCTGGAGAAGCGTTTTACCTTTTCCCGGATTGAAGCATAAGCCGTACTTAGACGCCTCCATCGCTAAGCGGTCCAAAGCTCTCTGGACTGTTTGTGGATCGTCTCCCAGCAAGGCGATATCATCGGCGTAGTCCAAGTCCGTGTCTCTGTCTCTAGGGAGGCGTTCAACACCGCAGTTCTGGACATTTTCCAGTGCTCCTTGGACGACATCCGATGGCAAAATTGAAGAGGGAACGTGAAATAGGGTAATCTTGGCGAACACCGCTGGTCACAGCAAACGAAGAAGAGAGCGTGCTGTAAGCCCTGACTTTACCCGACGTGTGACTGTAAAGCTCTTTCAGGATGGTTACAAACTTGTCGGGTACACCTTTCTTCAGTAAATAGTTCTGCGACGCCGATCTATCCACTGAATAAAATGCCGCTCGGATGTACAAGAACACTACGATTGTTGGCCGCTGGTGCATGTTCGCTTACACAGACTTCTGATCAATCAATGGGTTTTTTCCATTCAGGAGTTCGAGAAGCTGGCGGAGCGTGAAGATTTGGTTGGTGCAGCTGCGGTCTGGACGAGATCCGGCTTGTTCTTCTCGGGAATACTTCTCTGTAGCCTGCGAAGTAGGACCGACACGAAGATTTTGGATGCGAAGGTAACTAACGAGATTCCGCAGTAGTTATAGCAGTCGTGGCGGGAGCCTTTCTTGTGAATCGAGACAATGACTGATTCTCCCCAATTTGTTTTATGAGTACATATGCTATGAGTATACTATAAGTACATATGCTAAACATACCACTTACAACCCCCTACGAGGTTACTGTGGACGCGGTTATGATCTTCTCAATCTCTGCATGTATAAAATGCGGACGACTAGATTGCCAAGTGCATGATGAACACTTCCGATTCACTTTTCCAGACTAGCGTCGGAGAACCAATCTGTGGTCACATTTGTCACTCCAGTTCGCTAGAAACTGCACGTACATTCTATACTGATTTACTTTACTTCTCGAACCCGAATGCTGTCTAAATTTTTTATACTTACAGACGTATTTTGGTATTTCTTTCAGGCCAAAATCTTGTATTCATCAGGTCTTCATTTAGCCGAAATACACTGATCCATCGCTCTTCTACCGTACGTCAATTCAATTATGTTGAGTTGAAAAGTGGCATTCCACCAACCTCGTCCTACTCTTCCAACTATATTACGCTTCCTCACAGTATTTTTACAAGTGCGTTTTGTTTTTACAATTAATATGTATAGTGGATAACCTAAAGAAAAAGATTTCCGAAGTCTACTACAATCATGGATTATTTTGCGCTACGCATCCTGTTCAAGTGATCGTATCGGTGTGTATTATCGTGGTGATTTTGTGGTATGCATCTATACCCCCTGAATATCATCCACAGCTTCCCTTTATGTCAACTATTCATTATGGAGGATGTTCCATTGGAACATATGATTTTACGCGAGGATGAATTTCAAACCTTTGAGAACTCCCACATGCTTTTCGTAAGTCCTTTTTCCATAACCTGCTTTAATTAAGTAAATTTGGGGTGTATGTGTTTATGCTTGTTACCTCCTAGCCATTTATTCATATGCTTCGCCTATTTCCGTGACTCTAGGAATGTAAAAATGTTATCAGGCTTCTCGCTTTAACACTTCTGTACTAATTTACGCGCAACCCGATTATTTCTGTTTTGAAACGGTTCTCATGACTGCTTGGACCAACGACATTTCACTATTTTGTATCGATCGTTTCATTCATGTTGATGTTTGCAGTGGGATACATCGCCATGCGAATCCAAGATACTTACAACATACCATATAAACTACGTTTGCGGGCTATTCTACTAAATTTATGTACAAAAGATGCGCCGCTAAAGTGGTTTAATACTGGTGTGTTTGGGTTTTGGATGATATAGGGAACAACCGTGCTCTTCATAGAGGATATACTTTCAACAGCTATGGTGCGTACACTTTTGATCCCTCAGATCAGTCATCGGGACTGTTTGTGGCGTCCTCACTGAATTGAATCGTAACTCAACCTTATCTTGAGACAGTGGTATAGCTGTCCCGATTGTCCGCTGGGTTATGCTAGGTGGTACTGCATTCAAAACCATCCTTACTGGTCAATACAGTGTTTTGATTTCAGACTATCTTATCCTCACCACCATCGCATTGGGGTTTGCGGATAAACCTGAATCTCTTCCTTCAAAATCCAGCTTGCGGAATATCCGTTTACAGACTATAGGATCAGCTCAAGTAACACAACATGACCATTACGAGTTTTATTTACCTTCGGAGAACCATTTGTTGCTCATCATCTCCATTATACACCTTAGCTGCAGGTGGAAAACGCCTCAGCTGTTATGCCGAAATACAAAAGACAAGAAAAAATCAAGAACGGCACGCCGGCTGAGTCTTCAGTAACAGATGCCCATCGTTCCGGAGAGCTAACACTCGACTATCGTGCCACAAAAAGAGAGTTATATTACGTCTAATGAATGAGATCGTAATTGGAGGGGGAGGCTAAGCGGGAGGGGGATGGACGAAGGAACACACAACACAAGCGCCATTGGGACCAACCAAACGTGTTCATCGTCCTGAGAACCCTAGCTATGCAGTCGGGATGTACCAACCGACGCCAACTTCGAAGTGAGCGTCTTCATTTCTCTCAACCAAGTCATCGTTTGTTGCTCATTGCTACACTGCTTCTCGCCTTAAGCCAAATAGTCTTCTTCAAATATAGATGCAGCGATTTGCCGGTGATTGTCATTGCTCGTAACTTTATCATGTAATGCGATCGAACAGTTTATTCTTGTTGCTGTAAGTTTACTTAAATTTGGTGTACTTATCATCAGACAACGTTACATTGGACACTACGATCACACTTCCAAGTTTGGCTACCTCCGGAAACTCTCTAACAAACTTTTTTCTCGAAGTAAGCTGCGACAAAGCATTACGTCCTTGCTGGTGTCCACCACTAGTTTTCCCTCCTCTTCCGGTTCTTTTTTCTCTATGTAGCCCCAAGCAGCCACCGAATTCGTTAGCCCCACAGACAGCTAGGCTTGGTTCCCTTTCAAACTAGAGCTCCTTTATTAAAATAAGTCACCGTTTCTATCGCGAGCGGCATGTAGCTTTAAAGATTATAAGCCTGCCTTGTAATCCGAGGCGCGGATACGAGCCTGTAAATGGACCGGGTGACCCTCGCAGTAGCCTTAGTTTACGTGCGACTGCTGGTGTTGCGCGGCACTGCAGCGTCAGTACTACATACCGGCGAACTGCTGCTGCCTTTTTGAATGCCGCTATGCGCACAAACAGGCTATCATGGTACTTTTCCTTGCCTTAAAGGCCGCATTTGATTCGATTGATCGCGCCTGCTTGTAGCGATGCTGAAGCATCCCACTCTCCTAACATCTCTATACCACAACTCTCCTTACTCGTATACGAATAAGAGAGAGGTTTGCTCCTAAATTCTCCACGACTAGTGGAATACGTCTGGACTGTTTCATTTCTTTATTCATCTTCAGGTTTGCGATAGAAATGATCATGCATATTTTTTCTCTTCATTTTTCACAGAGTGGTAGTACTTTTCTGTCACCCACTGTGAAATTTAGACTAAGTATTTGGTGTCGCTGCTTTGGCCAGATGCAGTTACTGTGCAAGCGCTGCCGAACAAGCTAACATGCAACGCTGCACATCCTGGCATCTACTTTGCTTGGACCGACTCATCAATAGTTCCCATTACCACTTTAGTTAATTGATCAATTTACTGTCTGTAGGTCGCATCACCACGAACATTGTGCTACGACCTACTGATACTCCTGTGGCTTTTTGATATCCTCGTCACCTATGGGGGTGGCGGGGCATGGCTTATGTGCAATGAGAACTTCGTGCGAAAGCGCATTACGACAACTGTTGTCTTTGGACCACTGACAATGCACTATGGCCAGTTTTATTCCTTAGACGCCTCCTCTATGCATTGAAGAGACTGAACGTGTTTGCTCACCGATCCTCGAAGTATTCTCCTTGTCTGATGAACCACTGATTGATTGCGTATGGAGTACGTCCTTGGTTGCTTCTTGGAAGACTACATGGTTCTACGCTGGTTTATTTGTGTGTTACAGAGCGCCTGCACTGGCTAGTCCATACCCTCTTCATATGTGCTAACCGTCTATCTTAACCTCTATTACTTACCAACATCACATCTGGTTGCGTGAAAACCCGAGGTGTTCATTCATTGGCGTAACGGAAGAATATGACTAAACACCGGAACGTTGAGTAGAGTAGATTGTCGTATTCCTGCATGGGAGCATTGTGATCAGCCACATCAACTGTTAGATCTTCTGTCGGATTGAGCGCGTTCATGGAGGCGGTGCCGCTATTGCATTCGTTACCGTTACTTATGGTCCTTTGCTGATCCATTTGACAATGGACACCGACACCACGAGTCGGGTTTCTCCATAGTAATCAGACATGTGAACTGTGTGCATTGCAATTATTGGTATGTTTCTCTTTAGTAAGTGGTGTCTTTGAGGCAGTGTATGTTTCTGGTAGAACCAACGACATGCTTTTTAGTACTGTCATCACATTGTCCGCTCACTGTTCGCCGCGGGCGTGTCCTTCGGATGTCTGTATTTCTTTCAAACACCGCTTTGTTGACTGAAGCCGCAGGGTGACCACTCCATACTAAAGGGAGAGTGTAAAGTGTTACAGACTGAGCCGCATCCCCTATCCTGTCTTCTTGAATGGGGCTTCTTAATCTGCCAAATTATTTGACAGATCTCTTTTCTTTGTGACATACTAGCAAGGAAAACGACCCTCTTGCACCCCATAACTTGTTTGTCGCCCTCGCCCTTTCTAAATAGCTTTTCTAACCTTCCTAACTCTTCACCGATCAGATTTTTGTTTGACTACTTATTTTCATTACTTCAGTGGACCGAGTTTTACACACGCTTTTGTCTCCGACTCCTAGTTGGGAATGCGAGATGAACTGTGTTAAAAGCGTCTAGGCCCCCCTTGATGTAGTCGCTCCAGCTTTTGACTTGTGGCCTCTGCTTCGAATCCCTACTTCTGCACAGGTTTGGTCGCCCTCACAGAGCCCTTGCCGGTGCACAGCCAGACAGCCTACCGCCATTACATAACGCTGGTTGCTCATGGTTACATTTGTAGTTACCGCCTGTATACTTTGGATGGATGTAACGGGTGTTCATTTTTTAAATTTCGCACATGCGGCAAATTGGTCATTTGCCTTTCGTTCTTTCGTATTAGGCCATATCCTAACCTATACTTGCGCACAGATTTTTTCCTTAGTTCGCCTGGGACATTTATTTTATGGGGCTCTTCCCAGAAGTACTTCGATTAGATAACTACGCTCTGTCACTTCATTAGGTTTTTCATTGGAACCACGTTTACTATGTTCTCGCCCTCAAGCACTGTACCTCGTTGATTTTTAGAGCTCCGGTAATCGCAATAAGACCATCGGATATGGCATTCAGATTGTCCTTCATGCTTCTCCGCCTCCAAATGCTCCTGTCGGCTGCTTTTATCTCCATAGATCGCTACTCGAAACGTTGAAGAATAGTGTCAAAATCGTTCAATTGCTGCTCGAGTTTCAGCCAACCGGCTCTCAGACACAGTCATATAGAGACATATGCCTCCAAGTAAGTGACAGCAACATTACTAGGTGCTAGCATCCGCTATTCAATTTGGGCTAGTTTCCTTTCTTAAGTCCGGTGTCCAAAGTGCTTGTTCTCACAGCTCCTGGATACGCCGCATCTATCATCGACTGAATAACAACTTCGCATTTGAGGATAAAATACTTAACAACCCAACTTTAGGTATTGGCACACAAATCATCCTATCCATCTTGATGGTAATGCAGTTTATCTAATACAAATCATCTACATCACATGAGACAAAAGCGAGCTTTCCGTGAGTCATGCGCTGCAGATTTTGGTCGCGTCGTCATTTTCCCCACAGCACCAAACCAAACGATACTAAATTCAGGCCAACTTATTTTGGGAACCCGAAGACTTATTTAAATCCCTGGGATATATGCGCTGCAATTATTTTTTTTCACACCGTCTTGATCACATTCCAGAAACCTCCACTATGCGCCGTGAATCGCTTGGCGGACGAGAACAGTTGGCAACTTGCTTTTGCTCCAGTCGCTCTCTACGGACAGCGTTTTGCCATCTCTCATACACGACTTCATTGTTATTTATGATGCAACATTTGTGTTTCATTTGTCAACCTTGACGGACCAAGTTGTTAAGCAGACTACTTGTAGAAATCGTTTCAGCAGTCATTAAGTAAACTCACAAATAAACCCACCTTGAGGCCATATTGTCAGCATTCGGCCACTTCAAGCCCTTAGATCTTTGCCACAATTTTTAGGAGCAATAAGCCTTCGTTGGGCTCACCTGTCCAGCTTCGTGAGCAGAGGCATTTTGACTATTAAAGCCGTGTATCTTGGGATTTCATGGCAGTTTGTTGTCAAGTTTTTGATTTGCGAATTTGACCGAGTCACAGTCTGCAATCGCTGTATTCGATTAGCTACTCGTAGCACCATTACAGCATGAGTATAAAGATACATATATATTCCACACTACCAATTACAGTACACTTGCCTGAGTGCCACAACACATAAAAGAAAAAAACAATAAATTGGAAGGGTAAAAAGATAGTTATAGGAAATGCCTCACAGCAAATGCGCCATTGCATACGGGTCTTGGCTATATCTAGTAGCGTTTACAACCCGATGTGCTGGCGATCCTTTGGTTCCCAACCCCGGGTGTCCGGAACGCCCAGCAACAGCCAGCTTCGACGTCTGCGCCTTAACGGTTTGTACCTCCTTGTCGTCCCTTTTAGTTCACGCTTGTGCTTTCAACTAGGGCACATCATGGTATTCGTTACATAGGAATACGCAGCACATTCCCATGCCAGCGAAACCTTCAGTGAAATGAATGAACTTATGAAGCGGTTTCGTGCTGTTTGAATCTAGAGACGTTCGGACAACAAGATTTCCATGCTTTCATCAATACTGCTCCAAGAGCAGCTCTATTCGGCGGTTTGATCATTACCACGACCATCTACCTGCCACAGTTTGCTCTCTTAAGTATGCGTCATCTCCTCGTTTCAGTGTTATTTTATCCACTCTTGTAGTGCTTACGATATATTGGCGCATCTCGCATACACGTCGTTCTTTCTTAGCTGGGCTACCTCTTTTAGTTTTGCCTTCTTTATTCAATATATTCTCGAGGCCGGTTGACGAACTGAAGTTAACCTACCTTTTTGCCAACTGTTACTTGCATGTGTGTCGCTGTTTACTGCTCAAAAGTATACTTATGTATACTAGCACAAGCATTTAATACTGTTTTCGCAACCCTAACCTTCTCATTTGTTTTATTGATTTGTATGGTAAAGGATCAGAGTCTAGATTTCCGGTTCAAAATACTGATTTTCTGTCATTGCCGATAACTTCCCATTAGTGCGTAGCTTGTGAATTCAGCCTTGCTTCTATATCACAGGAAAGTTTACTCGTTGACTGTTCGAAATATCCATCACTTAAGCCTGGTGCAGCAGCTGTACCTCGCTCAGTACGCCGTAGTTTATTCACTTCAGAGTGAACACAAATGGATTAACCAATAAGATGTTCGGCAGGAAAAGTGGGAATTGATTGTTAATGGTTATATTGAACCAATCTCCATCTGATGGTTATATTGAAATTTTGCTACCTAAAAACCAGGAATCAAAGGCGATAGCACCACCAACTCCCCGACTGCACCGTATCGTGCAGTATTTCCATCCACTAATGTTTTCAGTCACGGGTTCTCTACCCGAGAAGACAGCAAACACCAACCCAGCTCATCCTCGATCGGTTCTTTCATCATTTTTGTCATCTCACCATCTAGTCATTTCGAAACCTTACTTCAGTTTACTCGCCATCAGCAAACAACACTCCGGAGTTGGGAGTTGGTCGGTGGGCGAGGAGCAACAGTGCTTCGTTGTGTCACGATATATCCCAACTGCAATCAGCTTGACATCAGCCCGACCATCGTACCAGACATGAACACTGCTGAATACGGTTTTTTACGTGAATGGAGCGTTTGCGCTTGTCCATTACGTATGACTACCGTTCATCTACTTTAGCATTTTCAACAGGCAACCAATTTACATTTTATGTTTAACTTCGTCCCTAGTTCTCTCTGGTTATCTACTATTTAAAAACATGAGCAATACATCTGCACCTCGTATTGACGATTCATTACCACTTTGCAAGTGTGCCTTGCTAACTAAACATCTTTATCGGGATTATATTATATATGGCCGTCGGATCTGTTCACACCTATTCGCCTAACCTTCCCGGTGGACTGGGCAGCCATCGCGAAAAATCGGCGATTTCTTTTTTTCTCCTTCACTGCTGCTCATCCTAGCTCATGGCTAAATAACACAATGGCTCTGTGAATTCAGTGGCGCTGATGATCCGAGGTGCCAATGGACAACTGCGTTTGTGCCATCCGTACGCTTGGATCGCATCTCATCTCAAATAAACACGCGTGCTTTGAGTCTCAGACGTTTTGGCTCAGTTGGAGTGGAGGTGTATCCGGAAAGCAGTATAACCTATTCGATAGTTGAAAGACACGTCAGTAACATCGGACCGCTAAATTTACCCGAACAGAAAGCTGGGGGATTTCGCTGCATAGCATCCGGTAGTATAGTGTGGCGAATCCTGTCTTGAGCGTCTACCCATTCCCTCCGTTCCTGGTAATTAGGGAGCCCCCTTATCTGTCCATTATTTTCTAGTGCGTTATGTTGATAATGAATCCCGGCGGGAATTAATCAACCGGTTGCCTATGGATCGTTAAAGTTTCCTACTTTCGACTGCGCTCTCAGTGAATTCACTGCTTTTTCAGATTGAAGACCGTTTGGTTACTAAGATCGGAGAAAATGATGCTGTCCTCAACACTTTGCCCACGTTTGGCTGTCTGTTACTTGCCCCCAGCCTTCTGTGGAACAACGATGCCGAACAACTGGAAGAGGCGTACAACACATTGTTGTCTAGACTGAAGAAACCCTCTATGAGCAGTCTACGTGATCTCTGTTTTGGGTTACCGTGGCGTCTCACCGGAGTTCGTGATACTGCGATTTGCACCCCGCAGCCACTGGCGTTTGTAGTGACAACGGTGCTACGCGAGTACGACTCACGGTTAGTTTCAATGCGTTTTCTGATTGGATGAATTGTTTACGCTTTTTACCTGCCCTTTTCGATGGGCCTTTCACACATGGCCTTGCCGCTTTTGTAAGATACCCGCAGGTTCGGAGATCACCGTACGAACCCGCAATCGTGCACCATCTCTAGTCATGGTAAATCCGCATAAACTATGAAGGTGTTGAGCTGCGTTCTCTCTTGATGTCAGCCGTCTCTGGCCCTTGACGTGTCTCCACAGCCACCGCAAACAGATCAGAGCTCTCAAGTCCCCTAAGTTCGCCTTTTTCGTATATTCGTCATCGTGTCGGCATTATTAAATTGCATTGGACTTCACGCTAACACATTTGAGGAAGCCGTTAATGTAATGTTCGATGGCTGTTGACTTGCTGTGCTTCACTCTTCATCGATAACTGCTGTTGCGCGACCCAGTGTTTCAAAAACCTCCAAGACAAGCTTCCTTTATGCTCTGTTGCGCAATAGAAAACTACACCACGATTCTTTCTTTACCTGTGTTAAGTATGGCCCTTAGCCGGTGGACGGAACAGAACGCGCACGCATAGTATGAAACCGTTCTGAGTGTCTAAATTCTGGTTGTACCGCACCTGGTTTTGGTTTCTAGTTTCGTGAAGCAGATTCTCCGTCCGTTTTCGGGTCAGTAGCAGTCGCTTTTTGATCCTGCTCATTTGGTTCTTTTGAGCGTGGCCGGATATGGTCGAAATGGCGTTGCCCCACAGGGCCGTCCTCCAGCTGTAGCTCCGCTTGGTTACTCTTTGAGGACATGAGTGTAGCAGGTTGCCAGCTAGTTTCGTGAGGCAGTCTTGTGTATACCGGATCAGAATCATTAAGACACATTTCCTCTGGCATCTTTTCATCCACACACATTTTCTCCTGCTTTTCCTCCATTCTCCTTCGAGGTTTCGGAAAAGGTAGGTGCAGTCTCGTTCGTAGTGACCGACCAAACATTGTTTCCGCGGGTGACTTCCCTGTCGACTCAGTTGGTGTCGTGCGGTAAGAGAACAGGAGACGATCCAACTTAGTTTGTAGAATTCCATGAGTCTGCTTGAGGAGACCTTGCTTAACAGTCTAGACTGCACGTTCTACCATTCCATTCGACGCGGGATGGTACGGCACAGATTTAATGTGTTGTATTCCGTTGTTATTCAGGAACTGTTGAAACTCCTCACTGGTAAATGGGGTTCTGTTGTCGGTGCATACCGTCTTTGGGATACCGAAAATGGCGAATATGGAGTGCATTTTTTGCAACCATTGCTGTGGATGTCACATGTGAAACTGGATTTACTTCTGTTCATTTAGATTTGGCACCAATCTACTCTAGACACATCATCCCATTGATTGGGCCAACATAGTCCGCGTGTAATCGCTGACAGGGCCTTTCCGGCCAACGCCATGGATGTATCGGTCCGGGAGATTTTTGTTTTGATATTTCCGACATTGTTTGCAGTTTTTCAGCAGCCGCTCTATATCCTGGTCAATGTTCGGCCACCAACAGTAACCACGTGCTAGTGCCTTCATCCTGTTCACGTCGGGATGTGCGTCATACAGCTCTCTCAGCAACTGGGGCGGTAGTTCTTCTGGTGGAACTATGCGCGAGCCTCGAAATATACAGCCGTCGTATAGACTCAACTCATTCCTCCGACAGGCGGATGGTTTCAGTTCGTCGGACGTGCTTGTAGGCCAGCTGGTCATCAGGAACTTTTTCACCAAAGACAACACAGGTTCCCGGTTAGTCACACGCCGCACCACGTTAATCCGGATGGTTGTCTTTTCAAGGTGTTGCATCAAATTGGTAAATTCCATGGGTTCATTATTCGTTTTTATGCCATGCTGCTGTGGGAGGCGACTAAATGCATCGGTACTCGTATTACTTGGTCCGTTTCCATACTGAGGTTTGTAGTTATAGGCGCTCAAAAGTAGTGCCCACCTTTGCATTCGAGGCGAAGACATCTGTTGGATTCTTTTTTTTCCTCACACAGAAGCGAAAGAAGTGGTTTATGATCGGCATGGATATCAAACTGTCTTCCCCAGATGTACTGGGGGAAATGCTTGACTCCAAAAATAATCGTTAAGGCCTCTGTGTCCGTTTGGGAGTAATTCCTTACGGCGGTTTGCATAGTGTGAGAAGCAAAAGCGATTGGACGAAGAGAACCGTCATCCGTTCGATGGTAACGGACTGCATCTACATTGCAGCACTAGAGGCAGGCTCGGATCGAAATGCACGAGTTACGGGGAGGTGCTGAGCACTCTTTTTGCGTCTGTGAAGGCTTTTTATCCGGACACCAAGTCCAGGGCTTTCCCTTGCGCAACAGTTCTCACAGGAGTACAAATACTGTTGAGGCGTTAGGTAAGAAGCGACGATAGTGAAAAAATCCCTAGAAATGCTCGGAGTTCTGCTTCATTCTTGGGTTCAAGTGCGAAAAGAATAGGCTTTACTTTGTCTTATAACACGTTGCATTCGTTTTTATCGAGGCGGTACCTCAGGTAACGAACGGAATCTGGGAGAAAAGGGCTTGGACTTTTTCAATTTGAGTCCACTCAGTTGTGGACGTTCGAGCACAGTGGATAGCATTTTTAAATGTTCAGCATCTGTACGTCCTGTAATTAGAATATCGTCAAGATAGGCGCAAGTGAAAGGAATATCTTTGATCAGGTTGTCGATGATCCTTTGGAATATTGCCGGGGCAGAACTGATTCCGAAGGGCAGGCGTTTGTACTGGAATAGACCCATGTGGGTACTTATCTTAGTGCATGAGCGAGAGGTCACGTCCAACTCAGTTTGTAAGTACGCACAACTAAGGTCGATCTGTGTAAACTTTTGTCCGTCTGCCAGCGTCGCATACGGATGGACTATCCAAGGTAAGGGATATTTACCCAGAATTAAACGATTAACACTTACTTTATAGTCACTACAAATATGCACAGAACCATCCGACTTCAGGAATGGAACTATTAGAGCTCCTCACTCACTGTATTGGACTGCTGACTGCAATCTATCTCGTCTTCCACCTTTGATCTCAGTGAATTAGGGTACGTGCCCTGAAAAAGCGGGGTTGATTTCCCGCCGTAATTTGATACTAGCCTGATATCCGTGCAATTTTCCTAGTTTATCATCAAAACGTCAGAATATTTGTTGAGCCCATCCTCCAAGCGCTGGTTAGTGGACATGAATTTCACTATCTCTAGCGTGGCCGGAAGGCATTTAATCCTGTCGCGCCCGAGTAAATTTGGACAATCATTCGCCACAACATATGTTTGTAAGGTCCGCTTTTCCCCGTGATTCAATTTAATGATTATTTAGCACTTATAATTTTTAACATTTTAACACTGTACACACATCCGCGGCGCCATGTGCTACTCTGCTGCCCTTGTCTGTGGCTTCACCCGTAGTCCTGTCAACCACTGGATCTCTGCACGATCTCTCCGACTCCTGAATGCCCTTCGAACGATTGCTGCCAGCGTTAAATACCATTTACAACGTAAGACTACTAGCGCAGAGCTCAAACAGCTTCTCCGGGAAGATGGCCTGGCCTGGTGGACGCAGCGGGTCATTGAGATGGAGCATGCGGCCACTTCGGGGAATTTCCGTACGCTTTTCCTCCTGATCCGAGCTACTGGCGGCAAAAGGCCGACAGTAAGCGAAGTTTTATGCGAAACCAATGGAGAGCCAATCCACTGTCAGAAACACCGACTAGAGCGTTGGATCGAGCGTTTTGAGCGGTAGTTTCATTGTTCAATGGCACCAGTGAGTTCCGATTCTGGTGTCCAGAGTGCTCCCTGGTGTGTAGACCCTTCACCACTATCCGAGGCTGAGATTGCCTATGAGCTTTGCCTCTGAAAGTGCTACAATGCCGCTGGCCCAGAGGAACTCCCTCCGGCTCTTTTCAAAAATGGTGGCCCATCACTTGTTCAGGATTTAACTTCTCTCATCCAAGAGATTTGGCTCACTTAAGTTATCACATCTGATTGGAGCCTAGCGGATATTGTGTCCGTCTTCAGAAAGGGTACCAGAACTCACTGCGCCAAACACCGAGGGATTAGTCTCATCTGGGTTGCTTCCAGCGTGTTCGCAGCTCTGCTTTTAAGGAGGCTCAGCTTGGTACGCGAACAGAGCATACGTGAAGAGCAAGCTGGGTTCCGCTCAGGTCGGAGTAGCATCGATCACATCTTTACACTCCGCCAAATACTTGAGCGTCGTCAAACATTTGGCCGACCAACGATCGTTGTCTTCTTAGACATACGAGCCGCGTTTGACTCAGTCGACAGAGTTGCTCTCTGGAGTTATCTACTGAGAAGGGGAGTGCCCGAGAAGCATTTAACCTTACTTCAAGCCGTCTACTCTGAAATATCGGCTCGAGTGCGGGTGGACTTTCGTCACCATTTAGTATCACCAGTTGCGTGAGACAAGTTTGCCTAGCATCCCCTTCTTGTTTAATTTCGCCATAGACGAACTCTTGGAGAGTGCTCTGGAGAACTGCGAACCCAGCGACGTCGAGCTGCTTCCGGGTACCGACTTCGCAATTTACAGTACGCAGACGACATCGTCGTCTTCATAAGCCGCCCAAAATGTCCTGTGTAGGTTGGAGGTGTCTGTCTCCCAGTTTAGAATGACCTTCGCACTATCGAAATGCAAAGTCCTCCTGCAAGACTGGCTAGTCGCTGCTCATATCCTTACTCTTCTAGGTCATTCATTGGAAGTGGTGGACAAATTCGTTTACGTCGGAAGCTGCCTCAACGCTAATGGTTTAACGGATGAGGTATCTTTTGCGCGCCTCCGCGAGGCTCGGGTGGCTTTT